TACGTGGGGACTTGAAGTCAATCTGAGGTGTCTAAAAGAAAAATATAAAGAACTGCAGCAAGAAAAGCCAGTGTGAGATAATTTATATTAAACTGCTGGCTCCACGCAGAAGACAGGCCACAAGGTCGCCGGAAGGCACAGGCCGTGGCTGAGGAAGGGAGGGCTTGCGCCAAGCCTAACTCGCGGCCGGCAGCCAAGCAGGGGAAGGAAAGGTCCTAAAATTGGGCGCCAGGTAAAGGCGTAAGTCACAAACAATGCCACACCAGTTTGGTATTATGATTAATAGGGTGGTATTTATTTAAAGGGGAAAAAAACTTACAGATCACCGTCCCAGACAACAGCCCTCTGCGCAACCAGGAAGGGAGTCTAGTTGCCAGCGGAGCAGGAAGTGAAGAGAGAGGAGAGGGAAGTGGCCGCTTTTTTAAAGAGAGAGAGACCAAGCCCCAATGGGCTGGTATCTCAGTGGCTATAGGCTGGAGGAGCGGAAGGACCTCCCGCAACACAATACAATACCTTGTATTTGTCCTTACTGTGTACTGTAACATGAGGGCTGGCTTGTTGTGGTTTATATCCTGCCCAGTTCCCCACAGCTGGCAAGCCCCAAAGAAAATCACACAGAGATCTCCATAAGTTATAAAACTAATTGGCCCATTAGCTCAGGCTTCTTGTTAACTCTTGTAGCTTATATTAACCCATTATTCTTATCTATGTTAGCCATATGGCTTGGTACCTTTAGCAGCGGGGCAGCTCACATATTGCTTCTTCAGAGTCTGGGCAGGAGTGGAGGGAAGAGCTTCCTTCTTTCCAGAATCCTCCTGTTCTCATCACCATACCTCTACTTCCTGTCTGGTTGACCTACCTATACTTCCTATCTGGCCAATCAGCATTTATTTAAAAGATGATTGACAGAATACAGACAATTATCCCACACCATTTCCCCCTCTTTTTTTTAAACACAGGAAAATATCCATAGTCCATATTTTGGGATTGTAGGCATAGTATTCCAGGCTACTTCCCACTGGTTGGGGGCACTGATAATCTTATGGGGACCTAAAGAAAATTTAGAGTTATGATCAAGTCCATCCTGTGAGGCTTGATCATTTCAGGCAGCATCTTGAATCTTTTCCTGATATAGAACTCAGACATCTGGGCCAACTGTTCCCACCGGAGATTTCTCAGGTGGTCTTCCTTGATTGAACCTGATTTTTCTTAACTCAGAATGAATCCACAGCCTCTCATTTCCTGTGGAAACAAAAACAAAATCTCTTCTCCAAAGTAACATACCTTTTGACTTCAATTTTGAAGTCAAAGTATTTTCAAAATACCTATCTTGTATTAATTCAGCAGCATTTATAAGCAAATATCTTTTAGCAGCTTGTGTTCCTTCTTCAGCATTCAAACAATTCAAAGAGAACATAATAACATATAGTATCAAGATTCTCTGTCTATTTTCCAACTTTGTGTGGCTTTATTTTAGACTCTATTTCTTTTATTTTTACTTTTACTTTTTGAGGCAGGCTCTCTGTATATCTTTGTCCTGGAATAACTCTGTAGACCAGGCTGTCCTTGAACTCACAGAGATCTGTCTGTCCCTGCCTCCCAGGCATTGGGATTAAGGTGTGTACCACCAAATCCTGCTACGCTCTTTCTTTTTTATTTGTAAGGACTTTAACCTTTAGCCTGCATATATTTTTAACACACTGTGAACCATTTAGAGGTTTTCGTCATCTTTGAATCTCTCTTTTTCTGACCATATGAGTTTTTGACCACATGAGTTTTTATGGAGAGGTTAAAGCTGTGGCTTTGACATCTGGATCCAGCCGATTTCTTAGCTTTCTAAGATTTCACCCTCATGGCGGAGGTACCAGCCAGAGCCTTGTTCACTGCCCGAACTCTATGGCATTTCAAGTCCCTGCCAGCAAGCAAGTGCAGCATTCTTCTCACAGACCACACTCAAATCCTCCATAAGAAGGATTTGAAGAAGTTAGCCAATAAGAAGTTAGAGCTAATGAGCCAAGCAATGTTTTAATGAATACAAATTCTGTATGGTTATTTTGGGGCTAAGCTAGCTGGACAGCCGGGAAAGACACCAGGTCCTCCTCCAACATAAACCTATGGCAAATTTTCAGTTATATTAATACTCATAAATAATATTCACAATTAACTTTAAGTATCTGTTATATTCTCAGTGAGAAGGAGGAGAAAAGTAAAGATCTAATAAATGAGGAAGGTTTGATAAAGGTCACAGATAGCTCTCCTAATTCACTGATTTGTTTAAGAATTGGTATGATCTTGGATGAAATATTTTTTCATTCTTGAACCACATTTGTGGGGTGAGTTTTAAAGCACAGCCTCTGGTGGTTTTATTTACCATATATTTGCTCTGTAAGTTTTCTAGAAAGATAAAATGACGTTAATAGGCATGTAAAGAAGTATTTAATTCTCTTCATATATATTAAACAAATGTCACTGAGAAGGGTTTATTTAAGGAATTAGGATAAATGCCTATATCATGGAAATGAAAATCTGTCAGAATTATAGGATAAATATCTTTTTAGAGCAGAGGATAATGAGGAATTCAATATAAGTACTGTACCTATAGTTCACAGTTTAATAGAATAACAAATCAAAAGGTAGTTTCTGATGGAGGAAGGTCATTGGTTAAAAAAATAGAAACTGCTTGGCTGGCCCTCATAGGTTAGAACATAGGTGGGTGGAGTAAGCAGAACAGAATGCTGGGAGGAAGAGGAAGTGAGCAGAGACTCGACAGCTCTTCTCTTGGGGGCAGACGCCTCAGAGAGACGCCATGCCCCACTCCCGGGCAGACACACGCGATGAAGCTCTGACCCAGGATGGACGTAGGCTAGAATCTTCCCGGTAAGCGCACCTAGCTGTGCTACATAGAATATTAGAAATGGGCTAGTCCAGGTGCGAGAGTTAGCCTAGAAGAGGCTAGATAGAAATGGGCCAAGCAGTGTTTAAAAGAATACAGTGTCCGTGTAATTATTTCGGGGTATGAGCTAGCCAGGCGGCTGGGGTGCTGGGGACGCAGCCCCGCCGCTCTTATCACTACAAGTTTCAACACAGTAAAATTTATTGAAATATATACAAGATATTATGAGATCTCGAATGTAATCAAAGAAAGATGAATGAGAAAAAAACACGAACATGCGGTCTAAAGGACAAGTTGAAACCATCTGATAAAATGTGAACAATTAGATTATATATGGGATAGATAAGTGATAAGTACATTGATTCCTCAATAACTAAGGAATAAAGGATCTTTTGATGGATATAATCTTGTTAACTAGATTAGATTGAAAGACTTCTGGGATACCAGTATGTCACACTTCTGGATGTGATGAAGAGATTATTTCTTGGGATATCTAGCATGTGGGATAACATAGTCTCCTGAATGTGTTTGGTACTTTCTAAAAGGTTCAGTGTCATTTATGAATGAACAGGAAAATAGTAGAAGCCAGCCACTGTTTACAACTTAACAATCACATCAAGTAATTATATCTATTGCTATTATTATCATCCAAGGACATTATATTTCAGCTTTTATATTCTGGAAACACAGATTCACACTTGCTTTCTCAAAAGGAACTTCCAAGCTTTCTTCTTTGGACAGGGTAGGTCATGGGTCCCTATTTCCCATAGGCTTTCACTTTTGTGGATTGAAAACTACCAGGATTGATCATTTGATATTGGATCACCAATTGGTCTGCTCTACACTTAGAATTACTATTTCTCCTACTTGGAACGTTCCTTAGTTTCCTGTAATTTTTTTGAAAGATGGAGGTCTCATGGGAATATTGGAAGATCTTATTGTTTTCCATGTTCACTTCATGTTTAGCAAATGGCCAGCCCTGAAAACATATGCACAAATAATAATATATAGACTGATCAGGTTACATTCATGTATTTAAGAATATACACATATATACACGAGTGCAATAACAATTAATGAAAAAAGAGGCCATGTGTTTGAATAAGAGTAAGTAAAGGTCTATTCGAGGGTTTGGAGGTAGCAAAACTATGGATAAAATGCTGTAATAATATAATATCTAAGAAGCAAAAAAAGACTGGTCCTCCAGTCTACGGAGAGATAAATCTTTTTCTTGATTACCTAATCTCAAATCATGAAAAGATCCCATTCAATAAATCATCTTTGATAATTTTTCCACTGCAATTTTATGGTGTTGGGTAAAATTGGATTTATATATTTTAAAATTTGTAACAGGATTATTTTCTTGTATCTCAACATGAAATAATTAATATAAAATAAATAAAAATAAGCAAATTGTAGCAGAGACTGCTCTTTTTTTCCCAGTTGCCCAGACATGAACAATCACACAAAAATATGTTAATTACAACACTGCTTGGCCAACAGCTTAGGTGCATTCCTACCTAGTTCTTATATATCTTAAATTAACCCATTTCTATTAATCTATGTATTACTATAAGGCTGTGGCCTACTAGTAAGGTTTTAGTGTCTTTCTCCTTCAGCAGCTTCATTGCATCTCCCTAACTCTATCCACTCTCTCTTTGTATCTCTGTTTGGATTTTCTACCTGACTTTACTCTGTTAATTCATTGGCCAAAACAGCTTTTCTTCATTAACCAATAAAAACGACACAGATATAGAAGGACATCTCACATCATCACCTGTTTTCTATCTAAATCAAAAGGAAGACTTTAAATATAACATAGTAGAATTACACATAAAAAACAATTATCAAGAAAGAAGTACAGTTACAATATTTAATCTATTTGTATCTGGGAAGTTTCATATCTAACTTATCTTTTATCATAATTCAGAAAAACTGTAACTACCTATCTTCAACCCCATCAAAGATTCTAGAAGGATACAATAGTACCTAAGTAATTAGAAAGTGCATTATAAGCAACTTCCAAAACTCTAGAATTTAGAGAGACATTTAGTTGCCTGGAAAGTCACCAAAAGTTTGTCTGTAACATTGGTCCATCCATTTTCAGTCTACAGGCCCATAGTATCCGGATGACATTTTCATGAAAGAAGAAATTTGAAAGACTATTTTGTCTATATTGACAGTTTGTCAGTCATCTTCTGTGTCCTGTGGAATGTCTGGCCGACTCTTTCATGAAGCAGGAACTCTAAAGGACCATCCCATCTTTTGGAAAGTTCAGTAGTCACTTTTCTGTAGGTCCTGCATGTGAAGTTCATACAGCATTCTATTAAGCAATCCAGGCAAGAACAGCTTCTTTGACTAATGGATAGCCCTGTTACCTTGAAGGCAAATTCCATAATGAGTTTCTTCAATGCCCATCAACCTCTCTGAAGTAATTGGTGCTGCCAGAAGCAGATAACTTTCATTGTTGAGGAAGATCTAAGTTCTTAAAATATTTTAAATGCCATATTCTGTAGGTGTTTGAAAGGTTGGAAGAATGCATATTCATCTGAAATATATCTGTGTACATCCAGAAAGCCTAAATGACATGACTACAGTTTGACTATTATAGATGACTATCTATTAATCCATAATTTTAAATTATACATTACATTTTTAAGTAAGTTGTATAAGCATAATACCTTAAACAAGATTATATATATCTATATCTATATCTATATCTATATCTATATATATATATATTTGTAACAAAGTTGACCCTAAATTTGTATCAATAAACCAAAGTCCATACCAATAAAAAGTATTTATTCCTATATTGCATCCTCTTTATTTTTTTGGAAATTTATTGTGAACATTAACCATTTATAAACAACCATTTAAAAATGAAAATAAATATTTATAAACAATCATTTTGTGAATTTTGGTTTTGCTTTCTCCAAACTGCTTCCTGCTGTTTGTTGTACAAAGTATTTTTAGGGTTCATGGATACTGTTTTGGAGGTTCTTATTCTATCAATCCACATTAGTTTTGAAGGAATCCAAAGATTCCCATCCTCTGTGGAAACAAAACCAGAACCTCTTTTCCAAATAACATAGGGAGTTTCTGACCCCGCGGCGCCAGCCCGGGACAGGGAACTCAGGGGTTCCTCAGCCCCCTATCCTTCTTGGGCTCTCTGCAGGGCCTCTAATCCCTGCATGCATCCCACCAAGCATGCATCCAGAACCCTCCCCACTTCGGCCCCACTGGCCTCTTTCGGCACATAACATCACCCAGCACAGCCTGTCTGGGCACTGGGTCTGAATCCTCGGGGCACCCAAGCGGGTGGGAGTTCCTTTGTTTCTATGGCCTACCTGCACCAAGCAGGGTAGGTGCTTTGTTTGCGAGCTGCACAACCAGCATGGAGACCTGATCTCTCGGCGCCAGGAGAGCCAACATTGGGGTGAGTTTCTGAACACGCGGCACCATCCCGGGACAGGGAACTCAGGGGTTCCTCAGCCCCTATCCTTCTTGGGCTCTCTGCAGGGCCTCTACTCCCTGCATGCTGCCTCTTTCTTCCTATCCCACCCAGCTTGCATCCAGAACCCTCCCCACTTCGGCCCCACCGCCCTCTTTCGGCACATAACTCACCAAGCCCAGCCTGTATGAGCACTGGGTCCTAATCCTCAGGGCACCCAAGCGGGCAGGAGTTCCTTTGTTTCTATGGCCTGCCTGCACCAAGCAAGGCAGGCACTTTGTTTACGAGATACCCAACCAGCACAGAGACCTGATCTGGGTGCCAGGAGAGCCAGCATTGGGGAGAGCCATCATTGGGCATGGAGATCTGATCTCGGCACCAGGAGAGCCATCACTGGGGAGAGCCATCACTGGGAAGGTACATCAGTAGGCAAGGAGACCTGATCTGGTAAAAGAAGATCCATAAGGGAGCATTTGGAAGAAGAGATGGGCAGACGCCAAGGCAAGAATTTGCCCACCAAGCTGAAAAGCAACATGAAACCACCAGAAACCAGAGACCTCACAACGGGAGGACATGAACACCTTATTCAAGAAGAAGTAGAAAAGATTGACTTCATGAAAGTGATTGATGCCCTTAAACAGCATGTAAAAAACACCCTTATAGAAATGGATGAGAAATATAACAGAAAGTTTGAAGAACTGAATAAATCAGTGAATGATACCCTAGAAAACCAAGGAAAAACAATCAAACAGATAATGGAAACAGTTCAAGACTTGAAAACTGAAATGGAGGCAAAGAAGAAAACACAAACAGAGGGCTGGCTGGACATGGAAAATTTAAGTAAACAAACAGAGTCTACAGAAACAAGCATAACCAACAGAATACAAGAGTTAGAAGAAATAATCTCAGATTCTGAAGATACCATAGAGAAAATAAACACACTGATCAAAGAAAACAGCAAGTCCAACAAACTCTCATCACAAAATATTCAGGAAATATGGGACACAATAAAAAGACCAAACCTGAGAATAATAGGAGTAGAAGAAGGAGAAGAAGTGCAGCTCAATGGTCCAGAAAATATATTTAATAAAATTATAGAAGAAAACCTTCCCAACCTAAAGAAAGATATACCTATGAAGGTTCAAGAAGCATACAGAACACCGAATAGGCTGGATCAAAAAAAAAAAACATCCCCTCGCCATATAATTATCAAAACAGAAAGCATACAGAATAAGGAAAGAATATTAAGAGCTGCAAAGAAAAAAGGCCAAATTACTTATAAAGGTAAACCTATCAGACTTACACCTGACTTCTCCATGGAAACCATGAAAGCCAGAAGGTCCTGGATAGATGTACTGCAGAAACTGAGAGACCATGGATGCAAGCCCAGATTACTATACCCAGCCAAGCTTTCGTTCACTATAAATGGAGAAAATAAAATTTTCCAGGATAAAAACAAATTTAAACAATACGCAGCCACAAATCCAGCCTGACAGAAAGTAATAGAAGGAAAATCACTAACCAAGGAGTCCAACAATGACCACAATAAGTCAGACATCTAGAGACCCTTCACCAACAAATCAAAGAAGGGAAACACACAAACTCTACGACTAAAAAAAATGGCCGGAGTTAACAACCACTGGTCATTAATATCACTTAATGTCAATGGACTCAACTCACCTATTAAAATGCACGGGCTAAGAGATTGGATACGAAAACAGGATCCAACATTCTGCTGTTTACAAGAAAAACACCTCAACCACAAAGACAGGCACCTACTCAGAGTAAAGGGATGGGAAAAGGCTTATCAAGCAAATGGACCTAAAAAACAAGCAGGTGTGGCCATACTAATCTCTAACAAAGTAGACTTCAAACTTAAATCAATCAGGAGAGATGGAGAGGGGGATTTTATACTCATAACAGGAACAGTTCATCAGGATGAAGTCTCAATCCTAAACATCTATGCCCCTAATATAAAAGCACCCACGTACATAAAAGAAACATTGCTAAAACTCAAGGCAGCCATCAAACTGCACACACTAATAGTAGGAGACTTCAACACTCCTCTCTCACCAATGGACTGGTCAATCAGACAGAAACCTAACAGAGAAATAAGAGAATTAATGGAGGTAATGAATCAAATGGACTTAACAGACATCTATTGAACATTCCACCCAAATAGGAAAGAATATACCTTCTTCTCTGCAGCTCATGGAACCTTCTCAAAAATCGAACACATAGTCGGTAACAAAGCAAACATCCCCAGTTACAAAAAAATATTAGTAACCACCTGTGTCTTATCAGATCACCATGGATTAAAGTTAGAATTCAACAACAATGCTACCCCCAGAAATCCTACAAATTCATGGAAACTGAACAGTCAACTACAGAACCATACCTGGATTAAGGAAGAAATTAAGAAAGAAATTAAATTCTTCCTGGAATTCAATGAAAATAAAGAAACAACCTACTCAAACTTATGAGACACTATGAAAGCAGTCCTAAGAGGAAAGTTCATACCACTAAGTGCCCACTTAAAGAAAACAGAGAAAGCACACATTGAAGACTTAACAGCCCACCTGAAAGCTCTAGAAAAAAAAGAAGCAGACTCACCTAGGAGGAGTAGAAGACTGGAAATAATTCACTGATTTACTCAATTCCTCGAACTTTCTGTTATACTTCTCATCCATTTCTATAAGGGCGTTTTTTATATGCTGTTTAAGGGTGTCAATCACTTTCATGAAGTCAGTTTTTTCTACTTCTTCTTGATTAAGGTGTTCATGTCCTCCTGTTGTGAGGTCACTGGCTTCTGGTGGTTTCGTGTTTTTTTTCAGATTGTTGGGAGAATTCCTGCATTGGCGTCTGCCCATCTCTTCCTCCCGATACTCCCCTTTGGATCTTCTTTTACAGGATCAGGTCGTCTTGCCCACTGATGTACCTTCCCAGTGATGTCACTCCCCAGAGATGTTTCTCCACAATGATGTTTCACTGGGGGCCCAGATCGAAACTCCGTGCTGCTTGGTTAGCTCACGAACAAAGGGCCCACCCTGCTCGCTGCGGGCAGGCTATGGGAACAAAGGAGCTACCGGCCACCCCTTTGTCCTCCCGGTTCGGGTTCGGTCCCATCGCCCTGGCAGGCTGAGCAGGGAGGCGCTATACCAAAAACAATTCCTCTTGACGGCAGTAGTGCACCGTGAATGCCTACTGTAGCAGGGCACGGGCACACGCCCTCAGCCCTTTCCGACCAAAAAAAAGAGAAAGCCAAGCCCAGTTAGCCAAGCTCCAAGATGGCTGCCCCCAACCAACCCACTGGGCCAGGCCTGGCCAGAGATGGGTGCCTAGGCCTGTGGACCCTGAGAACTAGAGGAATTCCATGCAGAGATGGGCTCCGCGAACCTCTAAGCTTCTAAACCACACTGCCTGGAGGGAGACACTGGGCTTTGTGCTTAGGCCAGCCCCTGAAGGCTCTGCCTTTGGTTCCAGGGGTGCTCTGCTTGCCAGCCTGCAGGCCACTGCATGGCAATCTGGACCACGGGGGAGGAGCCTCAGAAGCAAATTCCAATTCGAGGACTTGGGAACATGGAGCCCAGGGTCACCACCTAGCTGTGCAGCCAGAGTGTTCTAAGAGCCGCCCCTGCCCCTGTCACAGATCCAGCAACTCCTTCCTTGACCCTGTCCCTCTGTGTGAACAAGAAGGCTGCCAGGTAGGCCTTGGGTCTGCTGACACCTTAAATTAAACCTGGGCAAAAGCCAAGCTTCCAGGTCCTGGTGGCCAGCCAAGAAGGGGTCTGCCTCCCAGGCTGACCCCTTCTGTGCTCCTAAGGGCAGCACCTAGGGACTGGTGGGCCCAGTCTGCGAATTAGGGCCCCCAGGGAAGATGGGCAGATGCCCCAGAGCAGACCACCACCCACCTGAGTGTGTCCGCAACCCCAGGACCGGCTTCCCACCTGGCAGAAGGCAGCAACTGGATGGACGGACACAAGGCAATGGGCAGGCAGCTGTGTGCGTTCGTGAGGGCTCCAGTTTCGCCGGCCTGAGCCCCGAGGCCCAGGGTCCCATGGGTCCCATGCTCCTAGGGGAGAGGAGAAGAGCCACAGGAAACCTTGGACTTCATGCCCAAGCTCCCCGCCATGCGGCTTCAGGTGGCTGTGACCCCACAGCGGCCTCAGCTGGGACCCGAGCAAGCCAGGGGTCATCTGCGACCTCGCACCTGGCAGGCCCC